CAGTAGCAGAAATGGGTTCCGTTTCTGCTACTGTTGTCTCTGATGATAAATCCGCGACGGATGTCGAACCGTCAGGCGAATAAACGCATTGTCCCAGCTATCGAGTCTTCTTCTTCGCAATGGCTTCCTGTGACTCGCATGTTAGCTTGTATTGAAAAAGACCCAACTCAGAATAGTTATTTTGATGTAAGAATTCTCCGGAAAATAATCGAATCTATGTGGTTTAGCTGCGAAAACGTTTTGCCGCTTTTTCGAAAGGCTTCCGGTTGAATGGCTTAGTAATTTGTTCAATGCTAGTTTGTGACAAGATGCCTGCATCTGTGATTCATTTTTAGTCAACAGTGTGCAGTGGATGATGATGATTTAATGAATTTTCGACTGTTTGCTTCCGCAGACGGAGCTTCCTGGCCATTTTAGTGGCAACCACGTAACAGTGTACAATGACATTAAACAGCTTTTTATTTTACTCAGTTAAATATACTCTGTAATCGACTTGTCAAAACTTTGAATAATACACTGGATAAGGACGTTACTTTTATTTTCCAATGTCTTTGTTCCAATTTACCAGTTTATATCTGTTGGGATATTTCTATCTTAGATTCCTGGATAGCCCACTTCGTATGCCACAAGCTACTTCAGCCCTGTAACCAGGACCTCTGCAGATTCCGGCGTTGAAGCACTTAGCTCTCTTGTCAATACAAGCGAACATGCGAGTCCCAGGAAGTAATTGAGAAGCAGAAGACTTGATTGCTGGCACAATAGGTGTAGTCGCCTGACGTTTCGACATCCGTCGCTGATTCATCATCAGAGACGTTAGCAGAAAACAGCAGCAGAAACGGGTAATATATGCACAGGAGTTTGCAGTGTTTATAGTCTACAGTCATTACTGCGAACATACAAAGACAATAAACGTTAATTGGCTTCTTGCGCATGGATAGTTTGTTGGACGGTACGCGGGCCCTGACCTATCGAACTTTCATCACGGGCGGTGGACTCGAGCGTGATGATTGCTGATGGTTGCCTTAAAGCCGAAAGACCCACAGCCACGGCAAGAAACATCTGGGGTCATCTACAGGAGAAACTGGTAGACGTCTCAAGACGCGAATTGCCGAACACGCGGTAGCTGTGCGGCGAAATGATGCCAATTCTCAAGTTGCGACGCATTCGACGAGACCCGGCCACACGTTCAAATTTGATGAAGCCGAAATTCTCGCAAGAAGTGACAATCGGGTGAGCCGAGGACTACTTGAGTCATGGTTCACGGGCCCCCA